CCAGTAACGGGATCGCAACCCTCGGTGTCGCGCCCGTACCGGGGACCGGCAACGGGACCGCAACCCTCAGTGTTGCCCCCGCACCGGGCCGGGGACCGGCAACGGGATTGCAACCCTCAGCGTCGCCCCCATGCCTCGCTCAGCCAGTGAGCGGGAACCGGTCTGTATGTGGGATCCGAACCCTTGGGCGGGAGCGCCACCACGCTTCCCAAGCGGCGCACTATCCAGTGCGCCACCGGGCCGGCCCATATATTTATACACACTTATGCACAAAAATTCCTAAGAAAAAATTCAGAAGAACACACATGAAATCATAAGTGGTTGTTTTTGGCGAAGGGAGTAGGATGGGATGGTTGAGAGGGTATTACACAAGGGGCCTCAAAAAGTTCAAAGAAAAACAGAGTTGAAAGATAATATGAATTTTGACATGAACTTCTGAAGTGCCCTCATATTTTACATATGTTTGTATTGTCTGAGAAACTTATACAAATGTATTTATATGTTACTTGTATAATTTTTAAAAATGTTATTCTAGGGCCGGCCCGGTGGTGCACTGGAGAGTGCGCCGCTTGGGAGCGCGGCGGTGCTCCCACCGAGGGTTCGGATCCCACGTGGAGACTGGTTCCCGCTCACTGGCTGAGCGTGGTGCGGGTGCAACACTGAGGGTTGCGATCCCGTTGCCGGTCCCCGGTACGGGCGCGACACCGAGGGTTGCGATCCCGTTACCGGTCCCCGGTACGGGCGCGACACCGAGGGTTGCGATCCCGTTACCGGTCCCCGGTACGGGCGCGACACCGAGGGTTGCGATCCCGTTACCGGTCCCCGGTACGGGCGCGACACCGAGGGTTGCGATCCCGTTACCGGTCAGTAAAAAAGACAAAAAGGAAAAAAAAATGTTATTCTAAAACAATGCTGCCTAAAATTGCAGATGAAAATGTGAATGGTGATCTGAAATAGAAAGCGGCAAGAGGGGCTCTGAGTCCACGCCCCCTGGTTTGACTGGAAGAGCCCTCTGCATCGCACCCATCCCATAGAGGGGACACCAGCTTCAGCAGCCTCGGACAGGAGAAGGGGGCGTTGCTGCAATCTCCACCTCTCAAGAATCAAGCCACAGCCCCCTTCTTCTTGAACAGGAAAAGGCTCTAACTCCGGCATCATGGCGTCTCAATTCCCTGCATGGTGGATTTCACCTTCGCCCCCACAACCTTTAAGTCTTCAGCAAGCCAAGGACTGGCTGGCTCTTTCTGCACTGGAAATCAAATGTCGGACACCCACGAGCAGCTGGAGGTTTGGAGAGCCCAGCAAAGAGGCAAGAAGACCTCAAGAGGCCAGCATACGTCCCGTCCCTTTCTGTTTAGGGGATAATCCAGAGAGAGAGTCTGCATGAAACAACAGTTTCTGCTGAGATGAGATTTTTTCTTTTTGGCAACTGGCCGGTATCCCCGTAACCCATATCTGAATCCCTGACCTTGGTGTTACAAGGCTGTGTTCTAACCAGATGAGCTAACTAGCCAGCCCAGAGAGGAGCTTCTCAGATTGCCTTAACCCAGGCGACACAAGCAGGTAGCAGGAGCTGCGGCAGCTTTGTTATGACATGGGGCAGGGATTCAGGGGACATTTTGAAAGCACAATAGTGAAGCATGGAGTTGGTTCTTAAACACTTTCCTCCAGTATAGCACGACTTCTCTGCTCATCGTCTTTTGTTCCATCGGCCCCCAATACAACAGGGGCAGGCAAGACTCTCAACACAGGCGAAGCTGGGTCATGTGGCACCTGTGTTTGTGATAATCACATTTTCCGTTAAACTGCTACTCTGTGACTTCCTTTTTTTTTTTCCTTCAATGAAACTGAGGGCACCCTGTTTTATTACTAGGTAATCATTCTGAGATGACAATCCTTTTCCTTTTCTCTCAAATGGTGGTCCTGTGACCAGCCTGAGGCTGGGCACTGTGCAAGTTAAACAGCCAGGTTCAAGCTCCCAGGCGAGAAGGACTCTCAAGCCCAGCATGTCCATACCTCCCCAGCCTCACACCAGCCCCGAAGCCGAAAGACAGGCCAGGCCGGGACTTCCCAGAGCACCGGGGCTTAAGAGACGCTGTCCGTGGAAGGATCATGACCTGATTTCTGATTGAATATAACGATATATAAAGGGTTCTGTCTGAACCCTCCCCAAGCAACACCCTGACACAGATCCCAGAGTAATTCTGCTACATGCACAGGAGTCTGGCTTTCCTTACTGATGTGAGACTTATTTTCTTCTCTACAAAGCTACTTGATAAATCTAATAAGCATGTGCTAAATTCTATGCCTCTAGATCTGTGAACAAGTAAGACTTAATTTTAGTTAGACTTTTTCTCAATTCATTTACTACTTAATTTTGCCACCCTACAACTGAAAGGAGATTCGCAGTTAATTGGAAAGGTCTGCGGGGGAAGGATGGACAGGAAGTTAAACACTCCACTTGCTCTTGGTCTTCGATCAAGGACTCATCTTCCACAGGCCCCTTTCTGATTTTTCTCCATGTCTGTTTCACCTTTACAGGTTTTTTGCTTATCTTTAACAACTAATGTCTGCTAGTGAAAGAAGGGACATGTGAACTGATGGAGCAGAGTGGAAGGTCCAGAAGCAGCCCTGCACAGGGCAGCAAATCGACCTCTGACAACACGCAAAAGCAACTCAGAGGGAAGAACGTCCTCTCAGATGTCGCAGGGACAACCCAGCACCCACAGGCAGAGAATGAGCCTTGGCCTCAACTCCACATCATACACACAAGAGTTAATTCAAAGTCGACTGTGGATTTATTTATTTATTTATTTAATAAAGATGGCCAGTAAGGGGATCTTAACCCTGTGTTGGTGTTGTCAGCACCACGCTCTCCCAAGTGAGCTAACCGGCCATCCCTACATAGGGATCCGAACCTGTGGCCTTGGTGTTATCAGCACCACACTCTCCCAAGTGAGCTATGGGCCAGCCCTGGACCATGGATTTAAACGTCAAATGTCTACGAGAAAATGCAGAATATCTCCATGACCTTGGATTAGGCAAGGAGGTCTCAGATACCATGCTAAAAGATGACAAACTGGACTTCACCAGAGCCGAAGACTTTTGCTCTGGGCAAGACTGAGAAGAGTGTGAGATGACGGACCACGCACAGGGAGAACCCATGTGCAAATCCCATATCTGACAGACTTGTGTCCAGAATATACAAAGAGCTCCATAAACTCCATGACAAAAAAACAGGCACCAGATTTGAACAGTTACTTGACCAAGACACACCGATGACAGATGAGCACAAGGAAAAAGCTCACCATCATTAGTCATCGGGGAAGTGCACATCAAAGCCACACCAAGACACCCTCATGGCACTGGGATGGCTCAAAGGAGCAAAGACAGCAAGCAATGAGGAACGGCTGCAGCTTCCCTTGGAGAGTGGCATAGACTTCCTTGTGAAGTCAGACGCACGCCGCCCTCCTGCTCCCAGGGACTCACGCAGGGAAGTGAAACCCCATGTTCCCACAAATTCCTGGAGGCAGAGGCTTAAGCACCGCTTAGTCATAAACACCAGGGAATGGATAAACTGACTGCATTGCATCTGCACCATGCGACATTGTGCTGCCCAGGGACCGACTCGGCGGCATGAGGGGGTCATGGGAGCAAAGGAGGACCCCAGGCTCAGTCCACAGTCCAGGCCAGCAGGCCACAGTGGTGCTCCCAGGAGGACAGAGCGACTGGGCAAAGGGGGCGTCTTCACACAGTTGGTTCCTGGCATAGGCAATATGTCTGAGCAGACACGGCCAGAAGGCACAGGGCTGAACAGTTGGGTCCTGTGAATTGTGTGAGGGGAGAACATAGGAACTCTGGGAAATGAGGAGGGAGAGAGGAGAGGAGCAGGTTGGAGGGGCACATTGGCTCCAGGGGCATCCAGGACAGCAGAAGCAGGAAAAGCCATCAAAAGTGGCACAGGAGGAGACTAGAAAAAGTGCAACTGGAAGGAAAGGGTTTCTAGAAGCTGGGCGAACAGACCCTATCAAAGGCACAAAGGTTGACGAGAAAGCAAGACCCCAAGGGCCACATCAGGACAACCACAGGCAAGAGGGAGGCAGGGACACCCTCCCCAGGGTGGGGACAGACTCCCACAAAACACACCACTGAGAGCATGTTGAGTTTTACCTCTGAGGGTCCTTGGTGAGAAAAGGGTAAAAAACCACACACACTTCAAGTTCCACACTTGAGTGAGCAGACATGAGCAAACAGGCATGGCGGCGACGCACGCAAGGCCCGACTTACCCAGCCTGGATGAGCTCGTTCAGCTTTGACGCGTTCTTGTCGTCCATACCTTTCAGCGGAAAACAAACAAACAGACCGTAAGGGACTCAGCAGGAAAGCTGTCAAAGACGCCCCAACAGTGAAGGTCTTCCATGATTAAACCCCTTTGGGAGCTGTGGCCCCTCCTCCAAAGTAAAGCCAGTGTATCCGCTGCCCTGCAGGCACCTGCCGTCTGCACACCCCGCCCACCTGGACGTGCCTGCAGTCCTCTGCTGGCTACCACACATCTCTGCACGGCGGGTCTCTCCCCCAAGGCCCTGGATCCCACTGCACTTCTGCCCGCCCCCTACCCCCCTTGCTCATTTGACCCTGCTTCCTTCCCTGTGCATATTTCCTGCTGGGATCTGTACCCGACCCTGTCCTTGTATTGACCCTGGTCCCGTACCCCCTGGGTCTGCTGCATAATGAATCGGACACCCTGTGTTTTCCAGAGCAGACAGAGCAGATGCCCCATTTACTCCAAACTTTCGGTACTTTTCACTGTCCTGGAGATGCATGAGAAAACACAGTAGAAAGGTAGGGGGAGGATCCAGGTGGTGGGTATTTGGGTGCTCACTGTAAAATTCTTTGAACTCTTCTGCATGTTTGATAAAAAACACAAAAACTCACAAACATACAGCCAGGCTGAAAACCAAAGACAAAGACAAAGTTATAAAAGCAGCTGGAGATCAACAATGCATTTCACGCATAAGAATAGGACAGAAATGACCACTGACCCCTCACCAGAAACCATGCAGGACAGGGACAGTGGACAACAGCTTAAGAGCAATGAAAGAAAAGACCTATCCAATTGGAATTCTATATCCAGGAAGAGTATCTTTTAAGAATAAAGATGAAATAAAGATCTTTCAAATAATTGATAACTGAAAGAATTCATAGCTGGCACAACTGCATGACAAGAAATAGAGAAAGTTTCTCAGACCAAAGGGGAGGGACACCAGATGGAATTGTAAAGCAGCAGGAAGTGTGGACGTGTGCACCGCTCGCCACAAAGGAACCACATGCAGCCACGCCCTGGACAGGCATAAGCCACATACACCTAAAAGTGCGATGGACGACAGCACAAGGGGACATGATGAGGAAGCCAGCCTGTGTGGGGGCCGTGGACATTCAAGAAGAGATCCAAAGGGTAAGAAGGAGGTGGCAGGTCAAGGGGAGGGAGGCAGGGAGGGCCCTGGATCCGCAGAAGATCATGAGGACTCAGGCACTGGCCACACACAGCTGCTCTGTCCCCACCTCACCCTGTTCCAGAGCAAAGAATCAGAGGCCTCAGTGCAGACTGTGCCTGTCACTGGCTTAGCAAAGGGATATGTCATTTAACTCCACCAAACTAGAGAGTGTCCTCGAGTCCTTTTTTTCCTTTTTTTGGAGACTGGTCAGCATGGGGATCCAAGCCCTCAACTACGGTGTTATAACACCATGCTCTAGTCTACCGAGCTAATCAACCAGCCCCTACAAGTCCTGTTTTTTAAATGGAGATGCCACCAGCCCTTGTGGAAGCTCTGGTGACACTTGACACAGGCAACATGTATAAAAACCCTAAGAAGAAAGCAGAACCTCACAGTCTGCTGCTCAATGTTCACACTGCCTGGAGACCACAGGCGGAACAAGCAATGTTAATCAGAAGCACGCTCCAACCACCCAGCTCCCAGACACATTTCTGAAGCACCCAGAGAGCTACTGGTATGCAGGCACCTGGGAAACACAGACAGGTATAAAGTGCGCCTTCCTCGACAGGAGACACGACATTGACAGAGTGAGGGCGCCAAGGAGCCTGGCCTGGGAAAAACTGGTCATGTGGGGGAGGGGGGTTCAGAGGGGAGAAGCCCCAGCAAGCTGGAGGACTGTGGGGGCTGTGGGTGCCCAGAGCCCCACAAGGGGCTTGAGGTGTACATATGAGTATGTGTGCAGCCTGAGTGTGCATGGGCATGCACGTGTGTGTCACGTAAGAGTGCACAGGGGCATGCATGAGTGCACATGGGTGTGCGTGAAGCATGCATTTGAGTTTGTGCGTGGCATGCAAGAGTGCATGTGGGCATGCACATATGTGTGTCATGTGATGTGTGGCTGGGCAGGGACACTGGGCCGTGTAGGCTAAGCCACAGAGGCAGGGAGCAGCCCTGCGACCACCAAGGCCACCTGCTAGAGGAGGGGCAGCCAGGAAGACAGGCCTGAGGTCCAAGTGCAAAGGTCAGGGAATCCAGTGATGCTCCGGGGGCAATAGAAAGCCACCCACGGTCGTCAAGCGAGAGCCCAATGAGAGGACGATCCAAAGACTCACAGAGAGTCAAAGATGGTCTGGAGAGGGGACTGACACCATGACAGAGTGGCACACAACACACTGCCATGACCAGAGCTGTACAGGGCGAGGGCAGAGAAAAGGACGATGGTAGGAAGCAGAGATTAGAGGAAGATGGGGCCCAAGAGCCCTGCCAGCCACAGCAAGGTGTGCAGAACATTCCAAGGAAGTCCTCTGGCTTCTAGGAGGGAACAATTCATAGAGAAGGGACAGGAGCGGATCCCATCCACACAGGGAAGGAGGGTCAGGGAGAGTAGATGGCTGGCAGAGAGAGGAGGCCGCACGGGCCAGGCACACACACAGCAGCCAATGCACGTGACCCTCCCAGCTCCAATGCCCACCCTGAACTGTGACTTGTCAGGGGATGTGGCAAGGCAAAGGCTCACCAAGCCACTAGGTTGCACACAGCTCATTTAATCCTCGAGGCAGTCCATGGGTGAGCACCTCCACAACACCACAGGACAGACAAGGTGTGCTTGAGCTGTGCTGGGCAGGGGACCCTGGGTAGGCAACAGCCCCTACCTGGCATTTGCGTCACAAACCTCTAAAGGGATCTGGCCCTAAAGAGATGACGAGAGCAAGTCCAAAGTGAGGGTCACCTTATGAAGGAAGGCCTGGACACTTCACAACACCAAACCTGGGCAAGACCAGAATGCACGGGCCATCCTGGGGCAGACTCAGGGGGACTCCTGCCACACACAGGACAGTGACCCTTGACAGGAGCCTTGCCTAACGTTTGGGCACATTTTGGGAAAGCAGGAATGAGGTAAGATTACTGCATCTATCTGAGAAATGTTAAATGTCTTGGATGAGACCATGGGCTTGTGCTGTGTAAGAGGATGTCTGATCTCAGGTGATGCGGGATGAGGGATTTAGGGGTGTGGCAAGATGTCTTACGGTCAGATGGGGAGCGAGGAAAAGGCGTGTATGCGTGTGTGGAGAGAGCAAGTCCCGGGGCAGTGTCTACAGCTGCAGAATCCGAGTGCAGGTGTGTGGGTGGTCAGCACGTTCTTCAACTGTCATTACTCAAACTTTTTCAAGATAAAAGCTGAGGGAACACAGAAGCGTTTCTGGGCACTAAAGTTCCATGGTGACAAAGACATCAGGCCCTGGTGGGAGGGGCTGTATGTACTCACAGCCCCCAATCTTCTTGCGCAGCTCGCCATAGCAGATGAGGCCATACAGCTCCTGCGATGACTTCTTCAGCCCTCGGGAGAACACTGAAAGACAGAGCAGCACAGAGCTTCAGAAATGTGGAAGCACAGACACCCAGGGTCAGGCAGCTCCATGTGCAGGAACACTCCAGGGCTGGGCTCCTGCCGACCTCCCGGTTTTGATCACTGTACCTTGCCCATGTGAGACATTAACCTCCAGGGAAACTGTGTGAAGAGTATATGGGAACACTGTGCTGTTTTTGCAATTTTCAAAATAAAAAGTTAAACAAAGGGGAGGGGGTAGAAAATTATCCCATGAGGGAGAGCAAATATCCCCTGAAGGAGAAAATGGAACATTCGGCATGGCTGGGTCTCAGGGGGGAGGAAGTGGAGGGGACCATTAAATCTGTCACCCGTCTCTCAGCAGGCCTGTGACTCTGCTAACGTGACAGGCCAACTGTTCCTGAAAGTTTCCCTGAGAGAAAAACCCAAGATCTCATCGGATTCTCAAAGGAGAACGTGACCTTGCTGAATGACCAAAACGTGGTCCATCCATGTGATGGAATACTGCTCCGCCAAAAAAAGGAAAGGCACACTGACACACGTTACAATGTGGATGAAACTGGAAAACACCACGCTAAGTGAAAGAAGCCAGTCGCAGAAGACCACGAACTATATGATTCCATTCATATGAAATGTCCAGAACAGTGAAATTCATAGAGAAAGGAAGTGGATAAGTGGATGATGGGCTGGGGAGGGAGGGAAGGAATGGGGAATGACTGCTAATGAAAACAGGGTTTCCTTTTGGGGTGAAAAAATGTTCTAGAATTAGACAGTGATGGCAGTTGCACAATCTTCTAAATATATTTAAGAGCACTGAATTGTATATTTCAAAACGGGAACTTTTGTGACACATGAAGTATATACCTCAATTTAAAAATATATTTTAACAAAACCCTACTATTTGAAATGGCAAAAAGAAAAAAGCCCACAACCCAGAAAGAAGAAAACAATAGCTCAAACAAGTGGCCAGCAGGCAAGTGGGGTGTAGGGACCCCATGGGCGCCTGAACAGGGACACACCCTGGCAATATGGCGCCCTTCCTGGTTCTTCTCCACAGTAAACAAGCCCGCTGGTGCCAACACCCAAGCCTACCCACGCCAAACCTCAGCCAGTCACAGGTCAAGGCTCACCTCCTGCCCAGCCCCATCCAATCAGTTACCGCCCCGTCCACTCTCTCCCACCCCGGAGCACAGCACCCTATAAATGTACGTGCAGTCCTTGAATATAGCGGAACTTCACTGGCAAACTGTTAGCCCGGGTCTAGCGTGCTGCCTTCGTCCGTGCGCCCCTTCATTATGGTGCCGAAACCCGGGAAGGAGTTCACCCTGCGACAGGGGACTCCTTCCTCGGACTCCTCCACGACCCCCCTGGGATTGACGGTCCGCCCCCGTCCGTTTTCTCTGGTTCTGCCTTCCTTCACCCACCACCCGCTTATCCGTTAGGTAAGCCCTCTTTTCCTTGTGTCAGGCTTGTAGATTACTTAAACCTTCACCCTAATCACATTCCCCTGGCCCCGGCATTGACACGTTCCCGGCCCTGGAGGCTGAACCTCCCATTCCTCCCTCTCTCTTTCTCTCACTCCTTTTAACCTTCCTCCTTCCTGGGTTCATCCTTGAACCCATCTAACCTTCCTCCTACTGGGTCCAAGAACCCCGCCATCCAGTAAACCCTAGTGCGCTAGGTCTCTCCGGCTTCCGGCACAGTTGCCTCTGGGAAGCGAGGGTCCAGGTGACGACCTACACCCCCTTCCCTCCTGGGTTCATACCCATCTCCTGGGAACGGCAGGACTCATTGGGGACGCTCTCTGAGTTCCGTCCTTCTCATCCGACCGGAGGGCTCATTCTATCCTCCTTTTAAACCTTCTCTCTCTCTCTCTCTCTAATCCTCTTCGGAATGGGA